CCGCCACTGATTCAGACCCCTGCCGCAGCGACAGCAGCCTATTCAAAGCATCCTGCCCCCGCACCGGGTGGTCGAACACACGTCGCAGTTCCTCAGAAAAACCCGCGAAAGAGCTCAACGCCGAGGACTGACCCCCCCACAACGCGGTCGCCCACTGGGCCGCCCTTCCCCGAAACAAATTCATACAAAAAGCTATCTTGGCTCTGTCGGTGGTATAACTGCGGGGCTGCAGGTCGAACACGAGCTCGCAGTTCAGTAAGAAGCGGCCGCACCCCCCGGCTTCCCCTGCATACGGTTCTGGCAGTGGAACCCGCGGCTCCCGGTCGTTGGCGGCGTTGGTCGGACCCTGGTCCTCCTCTCTCCCTGGAGGATCCGGACCTCCCGATGCCGCAGCCCCCGACGTCCCAGGCCGGTCCATCAGTCGATTCAGCCTCTCCAAGGACTCCATCATCAGCACCAGCATCTGCTCGTGCCTCCCCACCATCGCTCCCTGGGCGCTGAGAGCCTCCTGCACGGATGCCGGGTTTGCTGGATCCATGTTGTATGGCCGAGGGATTCTGTCACGGCTCGTGAGAGGGATCCAAAAGCAAACACCGGAACCAGGTAAAGTATAAACACAAAATGCGTATTTATTGTCTCTCTTCCCAAACGACAACTCAAATACTCAGGCCTTCCGGCAATGCACCGCCGTCGTCGGCGGCGTCCCGTGTCTCCCTCGTGACGTAGGAATGGAAGCCACTGAAGTCTCCGGACCCAGGAAAACGCGTGTCTGGAAAGCTGTACTCGGCAATCCCTCGGCGCCGAACCTCTGAAAGATGTCCCTCTTTAACTGCTCCCTGAAGACTTGCAGCAGCTGCCAGCGATGAGTGCACTCCTCCCAGCTGCCCTGCATCAATCTGATTAGGCCACAGAAGAGAGAACAAGAGTCCCACCCGCTACCTCCAGAATTACTGTGGCTCCCCCTTGTGACCCTGTCCCGTATCCCCCACAGCGTCGTTATGAAGGCGCTGAGGTGAGGCGCCTATAAGCGGACGCAATGGGCAGAAAGCGATTGTGATCAGTCTGGTACAGCGAGACAGCGCTGATGGATGGAGAGTGGACGGCTCGGAGGCATGAAGGTCACACTCGACGACAGCGCGTGCGTGCGCGCGCGTGCGCCGGTGTGTTTAATCAATAGACAGGGGAGCTGAGAGCGAGACTAAAAATACATTGTGTCTGCGTGTGTGTGTGTGCGCGTGCGTTCGTGCGCTCTCATTTATCAGTGGTGACAATACCGTGCGGAGGATGCCACTGTGCCTGACAAATTCGGCCGCCACGCACACGCGCCGCACGCACACCCCCGCGAAGGTGACACTGGCGCCCGCGGGCGAGTTTACTCACTGCAGTCAAGGGCACACCTGTGTCTGTGTGAAAACCCTCCACCTGGACCCTGACACGTCCTGGAAGCCTCCTCCCTGCGCCACAGCGGCCTCCCTATTTCCTCCGGCTGCTTCCTTCCCCAGCGTGCATTTCCTGTTTTCCGAGCCTCACACTTATTTTGTCATCGCCACCGCCGTTTTCTCTCTGTTCCCCGCTCGCTGCGATCAATTAGGGGACATTAGTCCCACGGATATTTCCAGGTGACAGGACCCCCCCGGGAGGCCTCGCTCTCCTTCATCTCTCCTCCCTCAGCCTGTCCCTCGGTTTCTCCTCCACCCCCCGTCGGCTCCCCTCCTTTCTTCCCCGGCAGTAAAAACAACAGACCACTCTCGTCTCTCCCCCTCAGCCTCCCCCCTCTCGTCCCTTGCGGTGCCAGCTGTGACATATCAGCCTCTGCCCTCTTCCTCGGTCTCTCCAGCCATCTATCCTCCTCCTCTTCTCCCCTTTATGTTCTGGCCACACACTGACAGTGACACATCTCCCTGCTCCCCGCTGTGCTCTAACTCTATCTCACCCCTTTCTCATTTTTTCCCTCTCCCCCAACCTGCCTTTCGTCTCCTTCTATCTTGCTCCCTCCAGGTTGCCGTACACAATGACGAGCCCGTCTTCCCTCCTGTACGCCAGCCGCTCACCTGTATCCTAGCAACCACCTCTCCTTTGGCTCCGGCGCTCCGTGTTGGAAAGAGCAAACGAGACGCCGGGGGAATGAAGAACAAGCACTCCCGTTTATCCTCCTCGCTCCACCCGTTCAGCCATTCCTTCACACGTAAAAGACGAGGCCACACTCCGCCGAGTGCGTCAGCAGAAGTCCCTCTAACTCATACACGGCGAAGAAGCTTCAAAGAGATAACATCTAGCGTGCTCCTGTCGCATGCTGAGTTCAGCCGTTCTAAAAGGTTCTCTGTGTGCAAGCAAGCGTGTGTGTGTTTCCGGAAGATTGTGCAGCGTTTTTTCTGAAGGTGTATTCATGGCCTTGAGAAGCAGGGACCAAAAAAAACAAACATTTGTTAGAAGGACAGCGAGCCCACAAAACCCTCGCTGTCAGGAACACAAGCTGCCGCGCACGTATCCCGTAGCTCTGTGGAGTACTCACACACCTATGCTCACGTGCACATGCACAAAGAGAAAAGTGCTGTTCAAGCACATGTGTCCCGGTGTAATTTATGAGGGGGCTCCTGGGCGGACGCCTCAGAGGGGTCCTCTTCACGCTGCATGGCTCTGGGTGCTCCGCACAATACCTCTCTCACACACACACACACACACACACACACACACACACACACACACACACACACACACACACAAACAAGGCATCACAAAATCCCCCTTATGAGCAGTGAACTCTTCCGACCGAAACTCGCTGCACGATTAACGCTACAAAAAGCGAGGTAAACACAAGGGTTTCAGGCTTGGCAGCGCTGCTACAGCTCTGTTCAGCACAGACAAAACACCAGAGGAAATCTCCTCACAGCCGCTGAAAAAAGGAGCTCCACAGTTCGTAAAAGTAATATTGTAATGACAATAAACTACCATTACAGGCTTCTTCAGCTTACCGAATTAAAGCCCCTTGCGCAATTAAGTTTGACGTTTGGAATAAAATAAAAGTGTAAATAAACAGAAGAGGAGCTTAAAGGAGAACGTCCTTACACACTGAACTCAATTAAAACAAAAAAGAAATGCGACATCATACAGCACCGTACACATTCTCACTGCTTTGAGATAGCATGTCTGCCGTCTCATTTTTAGCTATAATAAGTCATTTCTTATTATGGCTAAAAGGCTCATGCTAATAATTATCAAGACGGGGGAGACAGTTAACAAGTTGAATGTGTCCCAGCTGGCAGGCTAACAATGATGTAGTGGTAAAAAACAAAAAAACAAGTGTAGTTAACCCAAGCAATTATAGTTTCAGATACGGACATTTTTCCATTATTTTCCTCATTAGTTCCTTATTGGCTGCAAATTATTAACAACTGCATGATCTCTGCTGACAACAAAACATCTATTGCATTATATTCCCCGAGTGAACCCATAACGCTGCTAGTACGAATAAGATTCTAAGCTGCGCGAGATCCCCGCCCTCAGGTATCAGCGGGGAAGCTCCGCCCTTCCTCTCGCCACTCCTCCGTATGTTGATGTCCAGTGCAGTGTGACCGCGCAAAGCTCACGAGAGGACGGATTCTGATGGCGCGTCTCGAGGCAAGACGCCTTCATCTGCTCCGGAGGACGCGCACTGCTTTCTAGGGCACACACACACACACACACACACACACACAGCGGACTTGACAGTGCACGGGGGCTATTTGTACACATACGGTTTTGACAAAGTGCACAAAGACATGTATATATATTATATATATACATATATATATATATATATATATATATATATATATATATATATATATATATATATATAGAGAGAGAGAGAGAGAGAGAGAGGGAGAGATTTTGTAGTATATTAATATTATAGAATTATATAATATTATAATTTATATTATAATAAAGTTACATTTATGTAACTATATATACAGTATATAAATAGATAGATAGATAGTCTATTTATCTCTCTCTCTCGATATATATATATATATATAAAGTATATAAATAGATATATGTATAAATAATGTAAAACTGATTAATAATGTATGTAGAGGAGATAAGGAGGTCGTTCTTTCTGCTGATGCCACTGTTTCCCTTAGATCCCCCATCTGTTGCCTCTAGTCTCTGGGGTAAGAGGCCAATCAAGAGCTCGGTGACACATCTGCCTCCTCGAACACATGCGCACACGCACCACACACACACACAGACACACACACACACACACACACACACACACACACACACACAACCACACACGGACACAAACACATGCAGCCAAACATACATGGATTTTCTGTTTGTCCTCTTTCTATTGTCAAGCTCTCTCTCTCTCACACACACACACACACATACACACACACACACCTACAGGCCTGCATCCTCCTGTCCAGTGCACCGGGTCGTGAGGGGATAAAATTCTCGCCCACGCACAAACTCACTCTCCAACTTGCTGCTTTTTCTCTCTTCTCTTCCCTTCAGATCAACCAGAAGCCCGCCATCACATCTCCTCCCGAGGTGCTCGCTAAGTGCTCTCCTCTGAGCATCTGCCGTTCCTTCAAGGATGACTGTTGCGCCATTGGCTTCAGATCAGTGAAGAGGCATGCGCTCCCCTGCTGGGCGAGTCAGGGATTCCTATCTTAACTGATACCTGCTCACGGAAAAAACAACATAAAAAACCCGATCCCCAATGTGCTTCTGTGTGCGTCTGACTGGCTGGTTGCTGGTGCAGAAGGGAGGCCAGGACGCTGGCTGAGTCTCATGTTGACAGTGCAGCATGAGGCAACACTTGCGCGGCGAGAATCTGCTTTGTGTTGACAACGGGGCGCTGGCCTTTACGCTTTCTTCACCCCAATGTGGCGTGGAAAGATTACAGGTTCACGTGCTGTGGATCAAGGCTAAGAAACGTGGGACTAAGCACGTGTATTCAACAAAATGATTGAAGGGTCATATTCCTGAAAAACACGGGGTGTGTCACTTACCGATGAAGTAGGACAGCAGGACGGCCAATAGGACGGCGGCTGCGATGGCTGTCACCGCCGCACATTTCCAGCTGCAGTACTTAGACGGCTTCTTGAGCTTGAAGGCCGAGCGGGAGAAAGTGTTTCTGGGTAGCAGGCGAGGGGGCGGAGAATACACGGTTCCCGAGGTCAAGGGGTACCCGGGGGAGGAGCTACTGAAGAGAGGAGTGGTCCCGGACGACGTCTTGAACAGGAAGTGCCTAAAGAGGGGGAAAAAAAGACACAGGAGTGACTTAAGTGTCATTGTACAGCTACAAAAAGACATGGCACCTCTGGGGCGGAAAGAAGTGGATTTTAAAAAAAAAAGTCTTGTAGGGAGGTAAATATGTAGCAAATACAGCGCGGGACCCCCCAATCAGAATCCAGACGACAAGGTCCCATATGTGCATCGTCTTTCCAATGAAACCCTCCTGCCATCTGGGTTTGAACATCCTTGAACTGATTGTCTCTCCGATTCAGCCCGTTCCAGTCCGAGGTCTCTCTTTGACCTCCACCTGCTGCACCCCCCCCCCCACCCACACCCCCCCCTACTTCCACTCCCACTTACGAGGCTCCTCGTTTTCCGCTCTAGATGGGTTCCGTCCTCCTTTCCTGTCCTCGTTGCCCTCGTGAGGTCAGAGCTCAGAGAGGATAAAATGAGGATTTGAACTATCCTCCCTTCGCTCATATTACCCATTATCCTCTGATATTGCTGCACCTGCTCACCCAACAGGTCTCCTTCGCTACTCTCCCTGCCCCTCTAACATTTTCCTTCTCCGACTGCAACTATGCTCCTTCGCTCATACATTTATACACATGTTCCTTTTTTCACATCTACCCCCACCCCCCCTCCCTCCTGCCCTTCAAGGGCACCGAGAAGAAGAGCAACTTCTGTGGCACCTTTGTGACATCTTTCACGACACCCACACAGGAAGAGAGGACCTGGCCCTACACAGGCAGCAGGTGGTTCAACAGCAGAAAGCCCTCCGGTGAATGCGACGGATCAGAGGAGGCCAGGTCCTCTATTGCAACAAAGATGACTGATGGGAGGGAGTTTGTGTGTGTGTGTGTGTGTGTGTGTGCGCATGCTCAGGCTCCTCTGTTTTTGTGTCTGTGAGAGTTTCCGGTATTAGAAGTGAGGACGTTTCTTCAAAGAAAAGACATTTTGTCTGGTTGTCATTTCTCTGAAAGGCTGCTTGAGAGCTGAAGCAACGTGTGTGTTGTGATGGTTGAACGACAATTCCTTTTATTACAAATATGGTGTTGTTAAGTAGTTTTATCTGAAATTCTGCGGTTATGGTAACATTATACAAAAGCATTTGGTTTGATAATCTTAACGTAATACATCTTACAACAACTTAATTGTTAATATCGTCTTGGGCTCATTCATTTCCTGTTTGCAAAGTTAATTAACCAGTGCTAGCTCTGAGCTAACATTGGCTTAAACATTAGCTGGCTGAAGCACATTAAAGCTGGCCTTCTTATGTAACATCTTTATAAATCGTAGGGGCTTTTGGAGGATAGCACACAACTCCAAGTGAAAAGATTGGAGTCCAAGTAAAGTCCAGACTCATTGGTGTTAAAGTCAAGGGCGAGTTAGTCTTTGTTATCAAGTAGAGACAAATGGAGACTGAGGTCACCAGATCTCCCTCTGTGACAAGACCTGTGACTCACATCGTCTCCTCAGACGTTAAGTAATACATACAGGTGTGTGTGTTTGTGCCCTGCTTTTCCTTCTGTAGCTCACCGTCATATTTATTCCAACTAGAAAAGCAGGACCAGTGATAATGACTCAGGTTATTTAAACCGAGCGGCCCAGCTAAACTGCGCTTGGCTGCTTTGTCTCCTGTCCTTGTGATGTCTTTAATAGCGGCTGTTTCATAATAGCGTGTCTGTGCATGTGTAGTCTATTCTTAAAAAACGCTGGGTGAAGACAGTTGAGGAGCTCAGAGCATAACGATTTTGATCTGAGGAGCACCGCTTCACTCTCTATCAATTATTCAGCCAGTCTGGGCTCTCGTTCTCTCTCATCATCCCATGCCACTCATTGTTGGTTGCTATCCTGCTGGATTCTTCTCATTCTTCCTCCTCCAACCTTTCCGCTGCTCCTTCCTCCCCCCTTTACCAGTCAGGTGGGCTGCGTGACGCCGAGGAAAAAGGGGAGGACGGAGATGAAGGGGGACGCCGAGGACAACAGCCTCTCGACGCACAGGGGCTGAAAAAGCGCGAGGAGATGGCAAGCAAAGAAATACGAGGTTATTGTCTAAAAATACCTGCCTCCTAGTGTCACAGCCTCCAATTTTAATATGCACGCGCCCAGCCACGCGCTTCCAAATGCAGGAACCCCGGGTGGAAGGCAAACAAACACACACACACACACATCCAAGGTCAATCAGCATGTGTCTTCACTTCAACTCATTTTCACAGCCACTCGGCGATGGCGAGGCCAGCGGTAATTAATTACAATACCCCTCATGTGCGCACGTATGCAAGGAGGCGGCAATCTGGTCAATTACTTGGCTTCCGTGCGGCGCCATGTACGCGACTTAATGTGCTGGTATGCATGTGAACGCGGGGCCCTGAATTCATTTCATTTCCTGGCTCCTTTTGTTTGTGTGCAGAAGCTCCACAGCGGGCTTGGTGTGGGACGGGAATATGTCTATGGGCCATACTAATTACGAGTACGAATGGAAAGTGTCTAATGTGCTCTGGGGAGGTAATTGACATTGATTTATGTAGCGGAGGACTATGGAGGGGTTCTATCATAGCAGGCAGCCGGCAATCACAATTCTGTATCATTAGGGCCGGCGTGTGTGTGCTTGCTCGCGTCCATGTGTGTGAATATGGTTTTTTTGGACATTGGTCCAGCGTGGAAACGTCACACATAATTAGAGAGGGCTGACAGAGTCCCCCCCCTCGACTGAGCTCCCAGCAGCGGCACCCCCCCGTCTAACCACTGCTAGCTCGCTGTCATGCATCCGGTCTAACACATGCAACACACAGACACACACAAACATGCAGAACACGCAAGCAAGCACAAACTCACACTCTGACACACATTTTCTCAGACTCAGACACGGGCGCCTGCCCACACACACAAAAATGAAAACCATGTGGGATTAGTGAGATTGCCCTGTGCGTGCTACCAAGCATTTCATCTGCATACTCGCGGAGTGACCTCAGACAAGGATGGAGGGGGTTCTATAGATTGGAAGGCAAACTGCGAGAAAAGGAGAATGTTTTCACTCCAATTCAACCCTGTCCCCCAACGAGAGAAAGACAGGACCTGGACAATTAACCACAGAACAGAGAGCATGCTGGGTAATTAGCAGGAAGTCAAAGCTCGCATCCCCCTTGAGCGAGTGAACGCGCTCTCGAGAGCACACGCGCAAAACACTACATTTTCCTGCGCTCTTACAAACATGTGGTTGCTTCGGATAGCGCTGTGAGAATAATCATCAGAGGTGGAGAACAATTAGCGGAGGTTGGCTCGACGTGGGGGTGAGTGAAAAAAAAAACTAAACGGTCAGATCTCGGAATGAAACAAAAGGCTTGGGGATTGGACGATGCTCGAGGACGGCGTCGTGAGAATTGTTCCCGGCTACAATTGTTGGGAACAACAATCGGCAGATGGACACAGCATAATGGGCATTGATTTGCTGAGTGTTGCTTTGAAGGAGGGCAGGGGAGATGAGTGCTTGATGATGTGCGCGCAAAGCAAAGCTATACAAAGCATCATTGAGCATTCGACTACAGAGAGACGATATGGAGACGTTCTTTAGGTTGAAGGGACAGTTCACTCAAACGAAGGCTTTGTATTCCTGTGTGGGCTTTTAAAGCCTAGTTTATGCTTCTGCGTTTTCAGAGAGACGCAAGGACACGCAAGGGACACGCAAGAGCCCCTTGCGTGTCCCTTGTGTGTCTTTTCACACCTCCTTGAGTGCGTCGACACATTTTTCTAGACTAAAAAGCTACGCAGGCCTCCTGCAGCCCGCAAGGCTGTGATTGGTCCGCTAACTACGTGCTTTACGGAGTCTCACATTTCCGCTTTCATAGCATGATACCGTCATTATTAAAACAAAGAATGTTTACGAGAGAACGGATCAGATTGAAGAGCTTTTGTCGGAAGAAATCCTTAAATATGACCGCTTATACAACCTGTCATTGGCGGACTACAAAGACGTGACTCTCTAGGTCGTCTTCGACATAAAACGTTACTCCACCTGTTGTTCTGCCGGTTAATTGCTTTGCAACACGTGCAAGCCTCTTTGAACCATGAATTTAAACGAGTGCGTCGACATGACTGCGCGTAAAGACGCAGACGCATGCGCAAGGTGCCCCACAATTTCTTTTTAATATGATATTAGGCTCATTAAGCCCCAGGGAAAATAATGTTTAGTAAAAGCTCTATATCTAATGAGAGCAAGGGGATGAGACGCGGGATCTATTGGACCACGCTCAGCCGTGATGGATCAATCCTTTTCCAAGTTGGCTTCGCGGTAACTGATGAGAGCTGCTTCTTGGAATGCCAGCTGGAAATATTTAGACAGTCCCAGGTTAGACCTCTGCATTGAATTCACATTTACAGCTTTAAAATATTATTATCTAACCCTATTTCTTTGTCGCGTTTTGAAAAATGTACCACTTAAAAAAGAGTCATGGTGTGTGCGTGCTGTGTTCTATTCCAGCTCTGCCCACTCAGGTTAAACTACCTTAAAGTGTCTGGTAGGACTTCATCAGAATAAGAAAACGAGTGTGACATCAGTGGTTACATTCACAAAGCAGGGAATTATCTAACTTCAGTTGTAATTCCCCCTCCAAATTTCATTTAATTGAGAAAAATGTCAGCAGTTTAGTAGCGGAGTGTTTTATAAATCCTTGCATGGATCGTCTGATGAAGGTCTGCAAAATCTCAAGCACTACTTCTAAATGGACCATGTAGTAAGACTTTCTTCTCAACTGCTATTACTTAGGAATCGCAGACAATGGGAGTGTTTGTCTTCATCTACTGCCAACATTCATGACAGCACAGCAAGACATGACGTAAGACGATTCATCATTCTCCATACGTACAGTAGAAATATGTTAACTCAAATCATTTTGGTGTTCCATCAACGTTGGACTATGGATATTAGATTTAAAGTGCATACTCAATGAATGTGAGCTCACCAGAGGCATGAATATTGCCTCTGTGACCGACTCCTTCTTCTTGCCCCCAGTGGTTCCCACAGGTAGCATCTCTGTGTTTGTCCCCGCGGTAATGCATTTGAAAGTAACCTATAGCCCCCAGCACCAGCACCAGTACCAGCACCAGCACCAGCACCAGCACCAGCACCAGCACCAGCACCCCACCCTCAGCTGCTTCTTCCAGATAAATTGAGATGCGGGAACCCCCCCAGTGATCTTATTTCTCCCCGAGAGCTGTGGCCCAGAACGAAAGAGAGCGGAGGAATGTCCGGAGATCACGGCGAGAGATTGAACCTGGCATCAGCTAGCCAACAGGCTCCAAGGGACCGATTGGAAATCAGGCGCTCTCTTGCAACACACTGGCATGCACACAAAGGAATGCATTTCTTCCCGCCTCACACACACACAAACCCAGGCACAGATAGGTAAACACACACACAGGCGCACACACACACACACACACACAGTGGCACCAGCCATCTATAGTCATTTATCTCACACCGGTAAATGTATCCATGTTCAACCGGCCCCAATCTCCTTCCTGTGCCGTTCCATCTTCTCTCACACACACTCCCCAAAACAATCTCCTTCAATCACCGCCTCTCTCCATCTCACTCCTTCTCTATCTCTCCCTTCACTACAGTAAACTATTCCGTTCCACCCCTCCCCTACCGACCACCACTCTCTAGCTCTCTCCTATATCACCCCCGTCCACACACACACACACGCACACGCACACACTCTCGTCATGTCCTATCTCTTTCTTCCCCTGCCAGTCATCCAAGCCCTGGGGTGTTCTTAGGTGATCAATCTTCATCCTCTCAGCACTGTCACACTATCAGGTCAAGCCAAAGCACACACCCGCTCACCCACACACACACACACACACACACACACACACACACACACACACACATACACGCACACACACACACGCACGCACATACACACACATATGCTATTCTATGGACAACAAATGCCAAAATTAACATATGATTACAATGAGGAGCAGTCAATGTCAAAGAGAGCACACATACTCAGAAGATCTACACATACGAGCGCGACAATGTGCTCCCTCCCTCCGTCACATTTGCCAGTTAAAGCGAGATGGACGGGACTCTGCCAACGCGGGGATGCAATCTCTGGCCACGACTGTTGTCCCGAGCTCCAGCAGCTCCAGCCAGCCCACCCGATCTCCGCCATCGCCAGAGCAGAGGAGGGCCCAATCTGGGCTGGAGGGTGGAGCTGGAAACTCTGCCGGCGGCTCTGGGCTCCATTCACTGCGGCGGGCTCCGAGCCATGGCCAACCCGACCACCTGAGCATGACCAAATACTGGCATGGAGGAGAGCTCAACCGCGTGTGTCCGTGTGTTTGTCGCTTAGTTTCAATCTGCAATGATGGTGGCCACAGTGGGTTATGTAAAAGAGTGGATTTATAACTTTACTTTTGTAAGCCAAACGTCCTAAAATATCATTTTCAAGAATAAAAACAAGCAGAAAAAGTCTCCTGAAATTATGTTGAGGCATAATATGCATCGCTGTTACGTGTCAACCCGGAGGGGGACACCTTCCCCCGTCCCGTCTTTGGTTTTCTCTCTCTCTCGTCTTGGTCCCTTGCTCACTTTCCAGGTGCAATCCCTATGATTGTGTTCCACCCGCGTCTGTCAAACCACTGGGCGGAGCTCGGGAATAAAAGGAGGAAGACCGAGTCGAACAAGGGGCGAAATGCGGATCCATTAGAATGAATGTATTTGTTGAAAGTTGTTGTGACAAACCGCAAAAATAGGACGTAACAATAGTCATGGCAACTCATGCCTCAATAAACAATTTGTCTGGAAATCGCTTCTATTTCGGGCTTAATTAGGTACCATGCATCTTCTTATCCCTCGCACATACCGGCACCAGCATGGACCTGAGACCAGTGGGGCTGAATTAATCATGGCCGAGCCTCATATATACTGCACGTGGCCGGCACTTAGGGAAGCTTATCCGGGACCGTCGGAGCTGGAAGCCCCAGCGCCCAGCAGGAGAAACACAACTACAGCCTACAGCAGAATAAATGCTCAGACAGGGAGTGTGCGCATGCAAGCAAGCATGTAGTCGGTGTCCCCTCTTACTGCATGCCTCATGAATAGTAATACCCCGCATGAATGCTCTGTTTGCCTGGTAAGTGTTCTTTGTGTACTGGCAAGAGCGCATGGTGTGTGAAATGGTTTGTATATCCTTCTCCCTCACTTCAGGGGTGTGTGCTTAATGACTTTGACAGCTTTCTGTATTTATTGCAGTCTGTGAGATGAGGAAGAGAATGCATTTGCCTTTGTGGATCAGTGGCCCAGAACAGTATTCTTTTTGTTAATGCATTGGCTTTGAATGATGAGAGCGGGTGTAGTGACACACTGTGTTATTCTGCCGTGTGTGTTTCCTGAGTGAACCCTAATGTGGAACTTTGATCCGTCGGATGCAATATCATAGTGGTAAAAAGACGTGTCAAAGTGTCTGGGAACGAATCAGTCGGGCGGCCATGTCCATGTCCTCTACCTTTTCATCCGCTGTTTCGATCTTTCGACCTTCATATCTATCAGTGAGGATAAAATGATGTTCGATGTTCAGAGCTCTCTGGCGCCATTATTTGTAGCCTTTAAATGTCATAATACAAAGTCTGATAATTTGCATGAAAAGGCACAGTAAATCTGTCTGGAGCTTGGACAAACAGTACAGTTCAACTATGGTGACCTTTGATGGTCCAATTTATGCTGTTGACCAATTGGAAGTCAATTAAAGCCATTAAATGTGGTGCCTGATGCTTTATTCACGTTTGGTGAATAAAGCATGGCGTCTAAAGGAAGGGTTTTGAGAGATGTTGCAGTCATTTAATTGAAACACACACTGACAGTGTGTGAGTATTCTCAAAGTAATCCAGTTGACCTTTGAAGTAATTAAGAGCCAAAGAGCCCAAATCGACGCATTTATTTAATTTTATCACTTTCAAAACTCCACAAAAGATTTGCAGTAGTAAAAAAAAAAAACGTAGGTTGTAAAGTCAAAGTTTGCTTACGAGGTAACTTGGGTTTTGGTGCAGATTTTGTTGGAAGGTGACCAAAAAGAATGCTTCCCTTTGAGAGTATATTCTTAACAAAGTCTTTGTTCGATGCAGAAAGTAAACATTTCTTCCATCCGACTCCGAATTCGCCTCATTCCTGCCTATTCCCAGTAATGTTGTTGAAGCAACACGGCTCTGACCTTTCCTTCCTCACTATTGCTTAATCAAGGTCCATTCCATTGCTGTGGCTTGAGATATTACCAGAAAGTGAATAAATAAGTCAAATAACGGGAATGTATTTCCTCTGACCTGGTCTCCAGCGGGACGTTACTGTTGAGAACCCAGCTGTCTTGCAGCTGGACCGACTCTGGGGTGGTGGGCCCGTCTCCAGGGCCTGGGGCCGGGGCGTGGATGGGGTTGCGTCCCCCTCTCAGGGTGTTTCTGTTCAGGCTGTTGGCCGACTGGTGAGACAAGGTGTGGTGGTTGTGCGGAGGGGGCAGCGGAGGCCGTAGCGTGGACTGACTGTGGTGGTTGGCGGCCCCTGGAAGAAGATGAGAGCAGAAAATAAATGAAGTTACTTCCTCGTGAAGGAAATCAAAGACAGTTTGGGATGAAGGGAGGGAAGGAGTTTGAGCCGAGACGCTACAAATGTAAGAAAAATGTTATTTGATATTTAGTGTTTATTGATAAGCATGGCAAAAAGAAAAAGAAAAAGAGTAAACCTTTTATTTCAGTCAGCAAATAACCAGCAACATTTCATTTTGTGTTACTTTGGTGTTGCAAATCATTTTGTCAGAGAAAGTGTCATATTTTCCAAATTGTCGATAAATCATTTGAGCGGGATGCTAAATCTAAATAGACACATGAAATTTGATAACACTGTTTTCCCATTTTTTTTTTTTTGCGCATTCTTCCCGCTGTTTCCCGCTCTATTTTTAGCAAATTCTTCAACTCTCAAAAGGAAAGTGTGTGTGTGTGTGTGTGTGTGTGTGTGTGTGTGTGTGCAAGAGCAGAACTGGAGCACTCCGCACAGCGTGTGCCCTCATCTCTTGCTCTCAGACTTGGAGGAACATGTCAGCTAGAATCCAATACCAGCCCTTCCAACTCTGAGCTAATGGACTGTTGAGTGAGAGAGCCGAGAAACGAACGCGGATGAGTCAGACAAGAAACACCCATTCACACATCACCTTTGTACCCCTGTGTGTGTGTATCAGTGGGGGGGCCTGATCCCGTATAGAGCGTGTTAGAGTCTGCGTGGGCCCGGCACAGGATCAATAAAGCGCGTATCACACACCATAGGCGCTCCACACAGATGCGCCGCCGCTCCCTCATTAGCATACTTCTGTTCACACCTTGACGCACTCGGCGCACAGCTGATCAAAAACAATAAATAAAGAGGTGGAGGAATTCACCGCCCGCCCGCTTTGTCGCAACGTGGTCTGAGCAAAAACGGCGGAGCTTTCTGCAAAGACGCACCGGAGTCTCCAGTGTCACATTTAGCTTTGAATTCATGCTTTTACGACGCAGTTTGCGTTTCTCTTTCATCACCGCCACATGCCGCGCTTCCTTCTTCACACTCTATGGGATCGTGTTTGTTTGCGCATTGGGTTCCTCGGCGCTGATCAAAGGAAGGCGCGAGCGCACATATGTACATGCGCCGCTTTGTCAAGCTGCACCATCACACTTGCCCTCCTCAATTTGTCTTTTCTTCTTGAGTTGGATTTAAAACAAAAAAAAAACGCAACAAGAAGACGGGATGGTGTGTCGCACTCGTGCTGTCTGCTTTCACATCTGTCGGTCAAGAGATTCCTGAGAGGCATGAAGGATAGCGATTTAACACCAAGCTGAAACCGATGCACACGCCGCAACCAGCTTATGCAAATCTAAATTAATTTAGGCAGTGAGTGTATTTATAGCAGTAGGTCTGCATGCTACCTTTCCGTCTATCTTCCTACAACAAAGACATCTTTTGCAATAAACACTTGAAATAATGAATGCACTTGCAACTGACAAGGTACTACGAAACGCAATTCAAGAGGTCAAAAGGACACAGAGGTTTTAGGGCAAGTGACGGCGGCTCCTGCGCAACTGCAGCCGTAGTGGCGACCAGTTTTGTCAGGTGGCCTGATTCTGCCTCCACGCCGCAGGGGAACCAGGTGTCACCAGCGCGAGATAAAGCTTTGAAGAGAAGGAAGGACGGCAGAGGAAGACAGAGGGGCCCGACCTGTGCGGCCCGCGCCAGACTCGGAGCATCTGTTTGCGTGTTCTAACACGGCCCTGGGAGGAAGGGACGTGTGTGCGCCGGGCGCGTACGCACTTGCACAGCTGCAGGGTAAGCCGAGCCCCCCTGCATCATACATGCAGAGTCTAAATTGATATTAAAGCGAGGAGAGGGTTTCATTTCTCGTGGTCCCCTCCCCTTCGTAGCCTCATTCCTTCACGCGGATTGTTTTCCCCTCTTTCATCTGGCTTTTCCTTGCATTTCTTTTTGTGTCTCCTTTGTAGAGATGTATGCCGCACTGAGGTGAATCTTGTTTGTTAAAAGCCCTTGATAAATAAATTTGACTCGACTTCCCCTCCCCGCAATGTCTCTAGAAATGAGAAAAAGGGCTGCTGACTACAACCCTGTCTGCTTCAATACTTTTATCTGAGACTAGCAACAATGCACACAACACCTAAGGCCAATACTGGAGGAGAAGAAGGAATAAGCTTGCTTGCACGCATGCAGGCATGGACGCACGGTCCAGAAATAAAAGTAGGGACCCCACTGCTCACACACCACCCCGCTGTCTCCCATGTTTAAATCTGCGTAGAAAAAGAAACGCATGCGGTTTGCCTTTGTTCACTTTCCTGCCATAAATATTGAAGAGTTTTTTTTCATTCAGATGAATATTATATGGATATTTTGTATGGGAGAGGAATACATACACGGTTTCTCAGCCTTAGTTTTCTGTGAAACTGTGTGTGTGTGTGTGTGTGTGTGCGTGTGCACTGTTTAACGGTCCAGCCACGGCGACAGTACACAGGGGTCATATTTTGTGCCTATGCAGGGACTCATATTTACTGCATTTTATAGTTGTGCCTTTAATATTTCCCCTCAAAAGAAGAGATAAAAAAACGCTTTTATCTATAGTTTCAAATTCTATTACAAGTGTCCAGATAATGTCAAAGATGACTTAACGTTCAGAGTGTTTCTGTGAAATGACAATCGTTAAAGCCTGCTGGCGCTGTCAGAATTTTCATTTATATATAAAGAAGAAATGATAGAAAGAGATTAGTTTATTTCGTTCCGCGCTTAATCAATATTTGCAGAATGAAGCACACCCATCACCAGTGTTTACTGTTGTTAACGTGCAGACAAACAGAAATAACTAACCCTTTTATTCCTACAAGTCACACAGCCTTGAGTATGGTGCAAAATACTTATGATCAGATGTAAATTGGTTTCTTTTTCCCCCTGAAACCGCACAGCAGAGCGATATCGTAGAAATTAATTTTCATGTCGGCGTACAAGAGCTCGCCGGTGACAACAGAAACGCAGTGAGAAGGGGCGGGCAGCATCGCCCTGAGTGGCAAGGCCATTTACACAAGTCTGACCGGCCAATGGAAGAGAGGCAGAGCGCGGATAAGAGCCGGCTGGAGGTAAGCGGGACCAATAGATTCATCTCACTAATGGCTTAGTCAGATGAATGAAATAAGTCCCGCAGGTAGGCTAATGGGAACAACCGTTTCACCAGGAACCCGGTCTGCTAAAAGACAAAACACGCTGCGAGGAAATAGAGCAATTAGAGAGCGGCAGAGCAGATCACGTTTTATTGCACTTCATCCTTTTTTTCCTTCACAGTAAAGAAACAGAGATCGGGGGGAGACTTTTGGCGACAGCACGCTTGTTTTCTTTTTGTTTTTTTATTGTGGAGGAGCTCTGGGCCCCTCAGACTGCTGTTGAAGGCTGACCCACTTTATCCTGTCCACGGGTCCCATGCGACTGCAGTGGGGATGGGGGTGTGGTGGGGGGTGGGTCTGTAGCTGTAAACTGTTGGGGTTGGCGCCGGCTAATCCCTGGAAGTTCATTATGCTCACCAATTCAGAAGAGCCCCATTCAGCAGAGGAGAATTAGCTAACCTGCCTCCCTTGTAAAGCACACTGCACACACACACACACACACACACACACACACACACACACACACACACACACACACACACACACACACACACACACACACACAGGCAGAGGCTTGCCACACTGTATTAATCTAACATTGTGCATGTGTGTGTGGCCAGCTGGCAGCAGCAACCAACCAAGGCAGTTTGTTTTGCAGCCCTAGATGGGCAAAGTGTTTATTGACATTTTCTGTGGTTAACAGAGAAAATTCGGAGGGCGGGATGTTCATCTGCGTGTATATGTGTGTGTGTGTGTGTGTGCAGGATAGAGCTGCCAATGCAGCAGTTAAACCGGATCATTGCAGGCCTCGGCCCCCTATCCTCCCTCTGCCTTCCCCACTTTCCCCTGCCTCTCTGTCTCTTTAGTTCACATGCAGCGTCTCCATTGCTATCCCTCTTTTTCAAATTGCAAAAAACACACGCTGTGCAAGCCTCCATTGTTTCCCACGCTCCCTCTTTTTTCAGAGCTAATTGCTATGCTCCCCACGTTTTACAGGTGGTATATCCCCACGTGCTGCAACTTCATATGTCCTCTGCCTCGGAATGTCACATGCTCCTCGTTTGTCATTCTTTTCAGAGCTCAGACACTGAGCACAATGGAAGGAGAGCTCGAGGTGAGAATAACAGGCACACATAGAAAACGCACAAAAAGGGGCTCGATTTGCCCGTCTTCTTTATATGCAGAGACATACATAAAGGCACAATTAAAGACATAAATCTGCACATTCAGACGCGCACACACACATACACGCAACGCCTCCACCTTGGCTACTCATCTCTGTCTTATTAGGAGGCAATTATCCGCTAGAGAAGAGTCATCAGATTCCGCCAAGTAACAAACATGAGCAGAAAAGGCCTTTTCACTCACACGCACACAAACAGGCCCACTCACGCACACGAATCCTCCCACTGTTACGCAAATGTCACCCTTACATAAGCACCATTAGGAAGGATGACATTAGCGCGGGCGAATGCGACGCATCTCCGCTGTGCCTTTTGTTGCCGTGGATTCGTTTCAAGCCACGGTGACTTGAGGTGGCTTCCCCGGCAGCAGAGCGCCGGCCACTTTAGAAGGAGGCTCGGGCTAATAATAGCTTAGCATCCCCCTTTGCATAATGAATAGGCCGAGGCAGCGCTAACGCTAGATCTTTCCAGGAGCGATCCGCCACGCTCCGTTTGGCCGTCTCAGCTCTCCCGGCGTTCCCAGACAGGTGCGCCGAGCCAGACAGTATTCCCACATAAACACGCGCGGACCCAATTCCCAGCCAATCCTCGGTAGCGCCGTTCCGTTCCCATTCACCCGTCACGCTTCAGTAGGAGCACAAGTCATGTCTGTCCACCTGTTAGCTTAGGTAATGGCGGACTACTTTACAGGAGT